AGCACATTCCCTCCTCCCGCCGCAGCCGGCTTCCCGGGTCCTTCACTCTGCGCTGACGGCTAAGGCCGACCTGGGCACACGCCCGGTGCCCGCGCGCGGGGTGCGTCGGGAGGCGTAGTTCTCGGAAACCCAGAGTCCAGTTCACAGGAGAGCCCTTTGTGAAGGAAGCACACTACAACTCCCAGGAAGCACCGCGCCTCCTGCGGCCTTGAAGCTCGCGGAGTAGACTGAGGGAGCGCGCAAAAGAACGCGCCGCGCTGGTGCCCTCGAGGCGCCTGCGCAGTTCCTGGTCTTGGGGGACTGGGTGGGACGTACACCTACCTCCGCTGCTCTTGGTTTGGTGGCAGCGCCGTGAGAGAGGACATACCTTCCCTCTTGCACGCTCTGGCCAGTCTCTTCCTCAGCTACCGAAGATCAGGCCTTTTGTGCCAGCGGCTTCAGTCGTCCTAACCAGTTAAACCAGCCTGGAAGGCCGGCCCAGCCTGCGCCTCGGTGGGACATCTTCCCAGCCTGGGGCTGGGTGGGGCAGCTTTGGCTTGGGGCGAGGACTCCTGCTCTGAGGGCTGTTGGTTAATGAAAGCGTTTGGGCCCGTGAGGAAAGGCATGAAGCTCTGGACCATCCTCAGAATTTCTAAAAAAAAAAAAATCCAGGCGGGTTTGGCTCAGGGCCTGGAGCCCGGGCCTGTGGACTGAAGGGTCTGGTGTCCATGCCGGGTCAGGGCACAGGCCCGGGTTGTGGGCTCGATCCCCAGTAGGGAGCGTGCAGGAGGCAGCTGATCAGTTCTCTCTCACTGATGAAGCTCTCCCTCTCCCTTTCTCTGAAATCAATAGAAATATACATCTTTTAAAAATCGGTATTGACGCCGAAACCGGTTTCGCTCGGTGGATAGAGCGTCGGCCTGCGGACTCAAGGGTCCCGGTTCGGTTCCGGTCAAGGGCATGTACCTGGGTTGCGGGCACATCCCCAGTGGGGGATGTGCGGGAGGCGGCTGGTCGATGTTTCTCTCTCATCGATGTTTCTAGCTCTCTATCTCTCCCTTCCTCTCTGTAAAAAATCAATAAAATATATTTTCAAAAAAATAAACGGTATTGACAAGATTCGGGTTTGCTCTCCCGCCACCTTCTTTGGTTCAACATTTACCAAGAAACATCTGAGTTAGAACAGAATTGCGCAGTGCACCTTGAGCTTGCAAATAGAACTGAATCTCGAGGAAGGGTGGAAATAAGGAGTTCCCCCGGAAGTCCTTCATAAAGTCTTAAGGAATTGTTCTGTTATTGCAGGGCTGGAAGTCCGGGGTCTTCTGAAATGTTCCTGTTTTATAAAGTTTGGCAGCTTGGTGAGGGAAGTAGGATTTGGGATAGATAGTCCTTCCCAATCCCTTCCATTCCTAGGTCGATACTCTCTTCAGCACCTCCTTGCATATTAGACCTCTGTAGCCCATCTTGCAGGGCACCTCCCAAATCAGCTCCCTCAGATCCGACCGGAGGTCTCTCCCTTGTACTCTGCATTTTCTACCCAGTGAAGCCAGCCCCCTCCACCTGACCTTCAAGAGCCTCCCACCATCAGACACCAAGATACTGTCTTCTGACTGCATGCAGAGCTTTCTGGTTTTCCCTCTGGCAACAAAAGTGTCAACAAAAGTGTCGCCTGGTTACTAAGGTGGGCAGGTCCCCATACTCTCTGCCTCTGGCAACACTAACTGGGCCAAAGGTAGACACTGGCTCAAGTTGGGGCATTTTTGAGCCCTTGCTTGAAATTGTTATATGGACGTAGACATGGAACGGGGAAAGGTTTCTACTGAGGTACCAGAAGGTGAACCTGGTGGATGGTTGGCATGGTGGTGTGCCCGGGGAGGCTAAATAGCCATCTCAGATGGTGGTTTAATTGAATTTACTTAAGGGAAGGGGGTGGGGGATGGGATATTCGAAGGGAAGAGCTGCACAGCACCGAGCCAAGAGGACATCGGGTCAATGATGGCAGCTCCCAGGAGCTGGAGTCTCATCCTTATATGCAGTCACTGGTGGGAACCTTGTCCTTCGTGGGTTTGGGGGCTGAGCTGGTGGGTTGGAATGGGAAAGGAATGCAGGTGTGCCATCAGGTGCCTCCAGGCAGTTTTCATTCCTTGTATGGTCTTAGCCCTGGTGTCCAGCGAGTTTTTCCTGGTCTTTTGTTCGCCTGTGCCCAGAGGCTAACTAATGGCCCTGAAGGATTGGATTGCCCTGTAGGCCTAACAGTAACAGCTGCTGGCCATGTTCTTCATCACAAAAACAGGCCTGTCTACCTTAGGAATGAATGAAGCCAAAGGGGGGGCGGGGGGAGGGGGAGGCAGGTGATGTGGATGGGAAGGGAGAGAAACCAAGAGCTGGCAGCATGAAAACTGGTTTCCGTTTCAGAGGCCATGGTTTTTATAGCTCTTCATTAAGTGCTTTGAGCATGTGAGCCTAGCTGGGTGAGCTGATACGTTTTATTTGTTTTTTATTATTTAGGACGAATTTGTGTGGTGTTAGAACATACTTGTTTTTTGCCTCCTGAGTCTTCATTCCTCCCAATTGAAGCCGTGCAGCATAACCATACCCTCAAGTGGCTGAGCGTTTCGGAGATGGTCATGTAACCCAATCAGAACCAAGGAGCCCCACAGAGACTTCAGTTGAGGAGTGCAGTAAATTGCAGTGCCCTTGTTTTTCTGGTGTGAGGTAAGTACATGAAGGCTAAAAACGTGCAACCATTTTGCTCCTGCGAGAGGAAAGCCTGAAGGAAATGGGCTTAAGGGACAGGCACCAGAGAGCCTGAAGATGCAGTCAATATTGTCAAATGCGTTCTGGAGAGAGAAGAACTGAATGTGTGGTGGCATCACTAGAGCTGCACTATCAGACCTCACCTGTTTGGCCTACAGACTAATATCTACACTGTTTAGAATGGTGTCATACATGCCCTATGTTGTGTAAGCAGGCTTGTATTGGGGGTTTTCTGTGTTTCAAAACTCTGAACGTCCTAATTCTGTTGGATTTCTCTACTTGACATTGCAAGGTCCTGTCGAATACAAATTAATACTTAAAAATAAACTGTGGAAGAGACTTTCAGCTATGGCTATGTGACATGGCCAACAATTCCTCTACACAAGCGATTTTCAACTGGTGTACTGCAAGAATTTTTAAAACATGCAAAAACTGACTAGTTACGGCAGGGGTGGGCAAACTTTTTGACTCGAGGGCCACAATGGGTTCTTAAACTGGACCAGAGGGCCAGAACAAAAGCATGGATGGAGTGTTTGTGTGAACTAATATAAATTCAAAGTAAACATCATTACATAAAAGGATACGGTCTTTTTTATTTTTAGTTTTATTCATTTCAAACGGGCCGGATCCAGCCCGCGCGCCGTAGTTTGCCCCCGGCTGAGCTAGTCCCACCCACCCACTCCAGCCTTCCCTCTGAGATTCAGGAGCTGTGTTTTTTTTTTTTTAGTTTTATTCTCATGTCAAAGGCCGGATCTGGCCTGCGGGCCGTACTTTGCCCACGGCTGGTTAGGTGACCCCTGTGAAAGAGTCATTCAACCCCCTAAAGGGTCGCGACCCACAGGTTGAGAACCTCTGCCTTTGACTGTGAAATAAAAAAAAATGACAACAGCCAACAACACAATAGCGGTTGGTGTGAATGAATCAATATTATATTATTTTGTCAGATTGGCAAAAAATATATACTTTTTGGTGTGCCACAGAATTTTAGTAATTAGTTTATGTGTACATGAGATAAAAAAACTTTGAAAATCACTACTCTACACAACAAAATTTCAAATGTTTTGATGTCATTTATTAATGTCACATTAGCCAGAGCATGTCACAAGCCAAAACCCAGGATGTAGAAATAGACCCCACAAAAATATGTGGTCATTTATTTGCAATCTATGACAAGAACTCTTGAATCTCCTAGGTTTCTGAGATGATTGTTTACCCTCCAAGCATCTGTAAATTACCATGAAATGACACCTTTTTCTGAACCAGCTGCTTCAGGTATTGGCTAGCACTATGAAAGCAAATCCAAGAACAAAAATCGTAAGTATGTTCACCATTCTGATTATTGATAGAGTGCCTGACACATAATACATGCCTGATAAATTTTTGTATAGTAAAGCTGATAACACCCTGAGTAGCAAGTGATGGAAATTCAATTCAATTTTGCTTAAACAAAAAAGGAGAATTTGCCCAGCTGGAGTGCACAGTTGGTTGAGCATCATCATCTCGTCCACCAGAAGGTTGCCAGTTTGATTCCGGTCAGGGCACATACCTGGGCTGTAAGTTTGATCCCTAATCGGCCGCAAACAGAAGGCAGCCTAGCGATGTTTCTCTCTCACATCAATGTTTCTCTCTCATATTGATGTTTCCCTCTCTTTCTCTCCCTTGCTTTCCATCATCCCTCCTTCTCTCTCTCCCTTCTCTCTAAGCATGTCCTCAGGTGAGGATTAAAAAAAAAAAAAGAATTTATTGGTACACATAACCAAGTCTAAGATACTGATTCCAGGCACAGCTGGTTCTTGGGCCTCAAATGCATCATCAGGATTCTTCCTTACCATCTTTTGGTTCTTCTTTCTTTGTGTTGAGTTTATTTTCTCGTAGACTCTCTCCATGTAGTAACAAACACACCAAGTTTATATTCTTAGATAGTGTACCCTACAACTGTATATGTCTTCTTCCTCTACTTGAAATAATAACATCTGCTACTCATAGACTTGACTATTCTGTGCCAAGCACTGTACATTTAAGTTAAATGTATGTTTACTTTCAGTTAAATAAATATTTATATCACATAGTGGTTAAGATCATGGATTCTAGAGCCAGTCTGCCTGGATTTAACCCTATACTTATACAAATCCCAGATTATACCAAATAATTTATAGTTAATACTAGAATGCAGTTTAATTATTGTGTTTGGATGTTCTTTGCAATCACTCAAATTAACAATGAAGCTATACTAAATGATGCGACTCAAAGTTTGGTGGGGTGAGGGGGTGATGGAAAATGATTTACTTATTTTTTGTCTATACTTCTGCCAAATTCTTTCTTCTTTCTCTTTCTTGCTGAAGTTGAAATAGCATTATCGCCGAAACCGGTTTGGCTCAGTGGATAGAGCGTCGACCTGCAGACTGAGGGGTCCCAGGTTCGATTCCGGTCAAGGGCACGTACCTGGGTTGCGGGCACATCCCCAGTGAGGGGCGTGCAGGAGGCAGCTGATCGATGTTTCTCTCTCATTGATGTTTCTAACTCTCTATCTCTCTCCCTTCCTCTCTGTAAAAAAATCAATAAAATATATTTAAAAAAAAGAAATAGCATTATCTCTAAAACTTCCCCTTTCCTTCTGAGTTTTTGAAATAGCTTATCGAACCCCTCCTCAAAAGAAAGCATGGTAAGGCTTTCTTCAGCTCTAAGAAACCACCAAAATAACTGCAGTAGTCCTCCTTTATCCATGGTTTTATTTTTTGTGGTTTTAGTTACCTACGGTCAACAGTGAATTGAAAATATTAAAAATTCCAGAAGTAAACCATTTAGAAGTTTGAAATTGCATGCTGCTCGGAGTAGCATGATGAAATCCTGCTCCATTGGCCAGGACGTGACTCAGGACGTAACTCAGCCCTTTGTACAGGGTACCCACACGGTGTACACTACCTGCCCCTTAGTCACTTAGTTGCCATCTCGGTTATCAGATTGACTGTTGTGGTATCTCAGTGCCTGTGTTCAATTTTACTTAGTTATACCCCAAAAGCCATTCACATAACTTTTATTACAGTATATTGTTATAATTGTTCTCTTTTATTATTATTATTTATTGTTAATCCCTTGCTGTGCCCAATTTATAAATTAAATTCTATCATAGGTATGTATGCATAGGAAAAAGCACAGTGTGTATAGGGTTCTTTGGTACTATCTGCAGTTTCAGGCATTCAGTGGGGGTCTTGAAATGTATCCCTCACTAATGGGAGAGGACTACTAGTACTGTATATATAAAACATATATGTGGCTGACGGGGCAAGTCCAGTTGGGATGACTGTGAGATGACCTTCACCTATAGACACAGAATTGACATGTAACTATGCTGTCATCCAGGCCACAGTACTCTAACGTGTCCACAAGGATAAGAGGAATACTGTCAAAAACTCTGCAAAAATCTGTATACACAATGAGCAGGCATAATTAGACTAAGTAATGGGGCACAAATTTTTGGAATTTGATTATTGGCTCTAATTTCTACTATATGCCAGGGTCAACAAACTTTTTTTAAAGATATGTTTGTATTGATTGCAAAGAGGAAGGGAAAGGGAGAAAGAGATAGAAACATCAATGATGAGAGAGAATCATTAATTGGCTGCCTCCTGCACGCCCCAAACTGGGGATTGAGCCCACAACTGGGCATGTGCCCTGACTGGGAATTGAACCGTGACCTCCTGGTTCACAGGTCAAAGTTCAACCACTGAGTCACATAGGCCATTCAACAGACTTTTTATTACAGGGCCAGAAAGTAAGTTGTTAGGTTTTGGGGGGGGCCATATGGTCTCTGTTAGAACTACTCAACTCTGCTGTTGTAATGCAAAAGCAGCCAAAGACAACATATAAACAAATGAGTATGGCTATGTTCCAAAAATTCTTTATTTGGAAAAGCAAGTGCAGGTACTTTGCTAACTTCTGCTCTGTGAACATATATATTCTTACCTCATTTGCAAAAATGGTCCTAATGCCAACTACTTTGTAAGGTTGTTCTGGCTCTTATAGAAAATAATATGATGGATCTTAAAAGTTCTTTAAGAAATTGTAACTATGTGTGGTGATGGATGTTACCTAGACTTTTTTTGGTGATCATTTTGCAATATATACAAATATGGAATCATGTTGTACACCCAAAACTAAGATAATGTTATATGTCAATTCTATCTCAATAAAAATAAAATAAAACTCCTATTTGAGGTTGGGAAAAATATGAACCAAGGCACCGAAATGAGTCCCAAAGTCAGACAGATTTTGGGCTGAGTCTGGGATTTGTCACTAATAACAGGTAACCTTGGGCAACTCTCTAACCTCTCTAAGCTCTTGCCTGGCTAGACTGGACCACAGCTGACACACTCTAATTCTGCAGGGTTGTTGAATGGAGCAGTAGCATTTCTGGTTCACTGACCTACCTATGGCCTGGCCCTGGTGCAGCTCTGCTTGTGGAGACATGCCTTTAATGACTACAGATCTACTTCTCAGGAAAAGGAATCAGGTATTTCATCTTTTTACTGAAGTTGAAACAAAAAGAAAAGAGCCTTAACCAAAACAAGGCTTTGAAGTTTCCCATCAAAAGGATTTCCTTGTAGTGGCTGTTGAAAGCTTTTAAAACTACATAGGCTTTTAAAAATATGGTGTGTTGCCATTTCCCTGGGAAGTTTATGTGTGGGTCTAATTACAACAGAGTATCAATTGAAATAATCTTTAGGGAGTCTTTGATTGAAATAGGAGCCTTTGGTAAGTAGGGGATGAGAAGTCTTCTCCTAGTAAATATTTAAGAGTTCCTTTGTTAAATATTTTACTTTGCAAGATAGGAGCTGCAGGTTTCTAGAAGCTGATGTTGGTGGAACTACAAATTGCTACGGCCTTACAAGAGAGAAATGGAGGATTTCTAAGAAAATTTAAAGTAGGCATAAACTGTGATCCAAAAACTATTCCAAGGCTATCCTAAGGCCAAGATATACACAAGGCTATTTATACTATCGTTATTTTTAATAATGAACACATTGGGGTTCAACAACAAGGGATTGATTAAATCAATTATGATACTACCACTGCAGTAGAATACTATGTTTCTTATAAAAAAAAAAAAAGTACTGTGTAGCCCTTGCCGGTTTGGCTCGGTGGATAGAGTGTAGGCCTGCGGACTGAAGGATCCCAGGTTCAGTTTTGGTCAAGGGCACATGCCTGGGTTGCAGGCTCAATCCCCAGGAGGCAGCCAATCAATGATTCTCTCTCATCATTGATGTTTCTATCTCTCTCTCCCTCTTCCTTCCTCTCTGAAATCAATAAAAATATTTTTTAAAAAGTACTGTGTATCTGTATGTTTTGGCATGAAAGATGTCCTGATAGACAGCAACAGCAAACTTAGTTATCTGGACAGAATGTGTATGAGAATGTGTTCACTGTCTCTGTATTATTTGAA